TTTAACATTTTGACCCTGTGACAGATTCCCCCCACTGTTTCACGGGTATGAGCAGAAATACGTTCAAGGGGTCGCTAGCGGTTATTACCCACAACCTGATTTGATACCAGCTGTAGCTCATAGCACGGACACGATCATTATCTCAGAGATTGGCATTGCCAAGTTTTATTAGTAAACGGAATATTCTTCGTGTAATAATTTTGTTTTAGGGGTTTTATCTTGTCGGTTGGGTACTCAATCAAGAACTAGTTTATGTTTTTTCTACACAGTCGGTTGGTGGATAATATCACGCTTTTCTACACCTACACAACTTTTACCTGTCCAGGTATTAGTGGTCTACAGACAGGGGTCTACACACGCGAACAGAAGTGTTATGTTTTGTCATGTTAGCTATTGTTACTTTTTGTAGTGTTAGTTATAACGTCCCTTGAGTAGCAAATACCATGGTTATTTCCCTTGAGAGTGATTCGAGTGTGTACTTCCTGTAAGAAACTGAAGATGAAACATGTTTGTTGGAGACTGTTCTCTGAATACTTAATAACGATAATTCAATTACTTGATTGATACCTTTAACAGAATGACAACATTCGAGATATACTTTGTTTTATTGAGCTCCACTAGTGGTGAAACTTGAAACATTGTACTGTCATTTATAAAGCTTATTTAATAATACATTACCCTGTTGGATTACATGGTAATATTATTTAGTTAAATGGTTAATGCTAAGCTTAAATTAAAAGAGTTCAACCACATTTTAAAGCGCTATGCAACTAATGGCTTATATTAAAATTTTATTTAATCGATAAAAAAATGGAAACGAAAATGAAAAATATAAATTGTGTTTCATTGCAACAATGGCAAATTTGTCAAGTTCGACAATCGAATTTTGTAAGTTCACAGTTAAATCTAAGTGCTGTCCCTTGTTTTACCCCATGTTTGACTCTAGTGCAAGCTAACGCTTATTGTGTCATTCTCTGAGTCATGTGACTCGTATCATGCTCCTGGTCACTTTTACATTTTCTTCCTTCTCAAGTTGTTATTTTTACTGTTCGTCGATATATTTTAAATTGTATCTGGTCCAGAATTGTTTGCTATCGACTGTCCAACATGTTGCATTGTGTCGCCATATTATTTTTGAGTATCTCGTTGGCAGATGAATTAAAAAAAACAAAGGCCAACAATTTTTGTCAATGTAAATACATATTTTTATTACATATATTTAAAGAAAACACCAATTGAAAATAAGAAGTATTAAAAAGATGTAGTTTATTTTATACAGTTTAAATTTATAATATCCAAAAACCACAATTTAATTATTTCCATTTTAAATCGTGTAAGCCTGAAGACAATATCTGCTCAAGAATTTTTTAAATGTATGAATAAGTAATCAAAATGGTTTTTTTAAGTTCAATTAATTAAATGATTTAATTTTGTATTCTTTCGGAAAATCTGGAATGAACAAACACAACACCGAAGATTATGAAAAAGACAAAACGAGCACTATAGAAGGTATACCTTTGTAATTTCAAACATACATGTATATATGTATGTTACTATGCCTTGTTTGAATAGGTGTTAATTTCATCTAAACAATTTGTTTGAACACAAACTATTCTATATCATCTAATGTGTCTTTTTTGTGTTTTATGGGTACCCAATTTTCCCACAGTACCAATTTCTAGTTGTATTTACCCACAAGGTGTGTTATAGGTAACAGGTGTGTGTTGAGAGTAAACATTTTTATTCAATATGGTCTCTCTACTTCGTCAAACCACTGTATCATAGTATATACGTTCATTTAAGATATAAATTTATTACGCAGTGCTAAGAAAATACAATAAATAAACAGTGCATGAAAAATGTGTTTTTCCAAAATAAGTGTATTTTATAATAAAAATATGTCATGTAGGTAGTATAACATTTGAGAAAATAGCCATAATGGCAAATCAAGTCTTGACATTAGGCCAGATGGTGGTTTTAAAAAACCATTTTTTATAATGCATTGCAGCTGCATTTATTCTTATCAAATTGTGTTTCTTAAGTCAAATATAAATCTAAAAATAAACTTCGGTGTTAAAACACGTCTAAGTTAATGTTAAGAAGAAAAATTGGCGTGACAGTTTTGCTTCTAAAGCATACTAAATTTATTTTGTTAGGAAAGCTAAAACAGTAAATATTTCACAATAATTGATGCTTTTGTTTTATATTTACATTTGTGTCTAATACATTAGCTTTATCTGTATTGAAATACAAAATATATTTTAAAATTTTAAATATGTTTAATCAGTGTACGCGTTTTCTGTAACAAATGCCCATAAATATACATACATTTGTATTATGTTTAGCAGATTATGATATTTGATTTCTTTGTTCTGTCGTTTGATCCCACCGACAATTGTCGTAAACACTAGCTTTAGATCTATAACAGAGTCTTTTTTGAAGTAACATCAAGCTTGTTTGACATATATTAAATATAAAACATCAAGCTTAGCCAAGGTATATAAAGTATAAAGCATCAAGTTTAGTTAAATAGTATAAGTTATAAAATATCAAGTTTAGTTAAAGAATTTTAAACAACAACTCGAAAGATAAAGCTATATGCTTATGAAGATGGAATGAAACCAAACGTTAAACAATTATATTATGAACCTGCAATGAAATTAAACGAATAACAATATCACATCAATGTGCATCAAAACCAAATGATAATTTACATAATCATTTCAATTTTAAAATTTTGGACATGTAAACGTCATATTTAGATGGTACAAAAATTAATTTAAAACAATCGTTGCCTTAATTGAATGTTATATTGTATTGTTACTGATATAATTATAAACAGCGATAAAATGTGTTGTTTGTTTGTTATTCTATCTAATGGCGTCTAATGTACACAAATAAAAAGTAAAATAACCAGTGCTGTATAACTTAAGAATGTGTCTATGTGTGTTAGAGTGAAGGAGAGAGAGAGAATTTATTTCCTTATGTCTGTAAAAGTATATGTGTGTTCGTGTAGGATTGTATGAGGATGTGTGCCAGAGTGTGGGATTATATATGTTCAGTGTGTTTTTATTAGTACGTGTGTGTGTATATGCTTCCATCACTATCCAAGTGAGTAGAGTAGATGTTTCTGCTATATGGACTATATGAACAGGTGAAACATATTAAACAAACAGGGCAGGTAATGGACAGGTGAAACATACTAAACACAGGGCAGGTAATGGACAGGTGAAACATACTAAACACACACGGCAGGTAATGGACAGGTGAAACATACTAAACACACTAGGCAGGTAATAGACAGGTGAAACATATTAAACACAGGACAGGTAATAGACAGGTGAAACATACTTAACACTCTGGGCAGGTAATAGACAGGTGAAACATACTAAACACACAGGGCAGGTAATAGACAGGTGAAACATACTAAACACACAGGGCAGGTAATAGACAGGTGAAACATACTAAACACACAGGGCAGGTAATAGACAGGTGAAACATACTAAACACACTGGGCAGGTAATAGACAGGTGAAACATACTAAACACACTGGGCAGGTCATGGACAGGTGAAACATACTAAACACACTGGGCAGGTAATGGACAGGTGAAACATACTAAACACACAGGGCAGGTAATGGACAGGTGAAACATACTAAACACACAGTGCAGGTAATGGAAAATCAGAAACATGTGGCGAAATTGTATTTCAGTTTTTCGTCATCGGTAAACTTGTATCCTAATTAATCAATTTCAAACAAAAAGAAGTTAAAAAAAAAAGGATTTGTTTAAACATATTAATTTAAAAATAAACACATTTCGCCAAATAAAATTATACCTTTTAATGTAAACGTTATTTATTTTAGTTATTTACCACAGTTGAGAATGTCACTCATCTATTTATTCTAATTGATATCAACACGCTGAGATCAAACATTCTTGATTAAAAAATTAATGGGATTCGAACCCTGTCATTTTAAGTTAGCTAAATAGGATCATTTAAATATTTTATTCAATACACAGGGACAAAGTTTATACCTTGGTTTTATCAAACATCTATGTTTGTACTGGTGCCAGTGAATGTACATGCGCCGTTGTTCTTATGTCATAAGTAAACCAATATATAACAGTTACATTTAAAAATTATTTTCTAACAATGTTAAGTTATACCAACTACAATAAAAATTTAACAGTAAATAATTTTTTTTTAAACAACACATACTAAACATTTTAGAAAACAACAATTTCCTACTCAAAATAATATTAAATAGAGTCAGTACAGTAGGTAAATACAGCAACACAATCAATGTGCTCACGAAAAAAATAACAATATTGGAATAAAAAAATATCACTGTTATTTACTGTCTGATTTGGGCCCTTAAGACATCTGATCAAAGATAAGGCTGCATTATTTATTGTCTGTTTTAGCTTTTTCTACATATTTATGATTAAACGTTTCCTCAACATATTGAACCGACCAAGGATAATGATACAGCACTTGGTTACCTTTTTAGCCGTTCGACATTTTATTAATTATTCAACAGTTAGTTGAGTTAGACATTTATTATAAAACCAGTGACAGGCAGTAAAATTAGTTGCTGACCTGATCAGTAAAGTTACATGCAAATCAAACGTAAACTGTTATGAACATACTATTAAACAAATGAATAATTAAATACACGTTTGTCTGCTATAAAGTATGGTTTGATAGTAAAATAGAATGATATCACATACATACCTTGCTAAATACATAATTAAATTTACTAACTTAAGAAGGGGATCAATTTTTATTAGTATAGCCCTAAGACCAGTTAATGATCATTTGGCGCGCAATAGCTTTTAGCCTTTCGACTGAAAAATAAATGCATAAAAACGTTACTTTTAATAAGCTTTTATGTAATAATGCACTAGTATTTTACTGAATGCCGTAATTGAGTCTTCTGCCTACCACCCTACCCCCTTTTATTAATATATTTACAACATTTCAATTATTGAAACTTGTTATAGAAATCTAAATTTCATCTCACTGAACGAGGCATTGCTCACTGAATTCCAATAGATGCCTGTGCTATCTGTTACTCCCCATAAGCCATTTAGGTTAGAACGAATACACTCACCATACCACCACGCCCCGTGGTATGTGTATGCACATGAACCAGACCACGGGTCGTTGTCCCGATCAAAAGTTGAAAACATCATACTGTTGTGGTAGGATAGACCGTCCGCAGCATCTCCTGTGTAGCCACCAACATGTAGCCTGTAGCCGTCTGTCTCGCTAGAAACGTTGAAGCTGGAATACTTGACGAAATATTGTCTCCCACTGAAGATCATATCCACTCTCAGTTCTGTTTTGTTTTTAGACGTTAAGAGATAAATGTTCTCATTACCCAGGTAAAAATTACCTGAACTGAAATCACCAAACCCATTTTTGTATTCCGTCCAGTTCCTGTAAAAATCTACAGTCCCAGAAACACGTCTTTGGAAAATGGTCCATCCTCCACCGTCTGTTACTGTGTCACACATGACCTGAAGTCCAGAGCTTAGGGTCACCAAAGGTCGGGGGACACAAGCGTCAACTCCTACGTCTGTTAAATAAATACAAAATTTATTTTGTCATGTTATTTTTTACGTTTTAAACAACGTGCGAAGTTGACGGAAATTATTCAAGGGTCACCAAACAACAGATGTACACTATAAATATGTAACAAATAGTGTATGTATCTGCAACATACATGTTTAGTTAAACTGAACACGTGTGGTTTATAAATTGGTGATACATTACTTAACAAGTAGCTACACATAATTTACTTTAAAAGAAAATATATCGTGTACAAATTGTGGAAAAGCATCAGAATCAGCAGAAACTATATAGAAAGGTAAGTAACATCACCTGCGCAAAGAGTAAATTCTGTATATATTATCGACCCATCCAACAGGGCCGAGGTATTTCTGGTTGTGTTACAGAACTTCCCACTAGAGAAAATTTTTCCCTTAACTTTTTCTTGTGAAGCTTTCAGTGGGACCAGCCAGGAACCTGTTAGATTTAACAAAATTATACTTAACATAACGTAAGCAATTATTGATATATATTTGGCGTCATGTAAAGAGATATAAAAATATTACAAATTTACGCACACACACGCATATATATATATATATATATATATATATATATATATATATATATATATATATATATATATATATATATATATATATATATATGCGTGTGTGTGTTCTAAAACTCCAACTGTGTGTACCATTTATGAAATTCCTGTTGTGTATTTTAGGAGAGCCATTTGGAGTTGCTAAAATTTAAAGATTTGCTATGTTAACATTTGTTGCGTGTTGTCTACTTTTAAGGTTCAATGTTGGATGTTGTCCACTTGTAATGTTAAATTATGTTGCATGTTAACCACTTGTTTATTTAATGTCAGATGCTTTTTATTCATTGTAATTTTAACATTTGCTTTATTACACATGTAAAGTTACGCGATTGCTTATAATTGTAATCACATGTTAATGTCACGTACTTACTACTTCTGTTGTTGGTGGTGGGGATGGGTATTATAAATAGGACGGGTTGTGTTGCTATACTACTTAAGAAAACATGTAAGACACATGAGGGTGGTTAACCTCGGGAAAAGGTTGTAGTTGATGGTAATGCGCCATTCTATATCCCAATACTAATGATAAAGCATTTGCTTGGTTGGCATTTTGTTTACATTTGGTTTAATTGCTTTTTGTCATTTAGCAAACTGTTAAATCAACCTGCACAACTCAACAAAACACACACACAATGTTTCTCTTCACACAGTTCACCGTACGTGAGATAATGTCATAGTCAAAATTGTAACATCCGTAGTCGTTTATAATGAATTCTTAATAACTATGTCATGAAAGATATTTAATTATGTAATAAAGTAATTAAGCCTGAGCAAACCTGCAATTTCAGTTGTTTTTTACGTGTGTCTCGTAAAAATTTGATAGTCGAGGTCAAAGACTTAAAACTTGCACCTTGGTTCAAGCTACATAATATTCGAACTTATTTTGTAGATAACACAGACTAATGCTAGATCCTACATCTATAACCAAGATATATTTCATACTTTGGCCGTCAAAAGGTGATCATACCAACCAATAACACATATTAAACTGATTTTACTTTAGACTTTACTATTAGACAGTTCCAGAGGTGTATATAGGTTTTCGTTGTAGGGGGAGCGAAAAGAGCAAAAAAAGGCGCCGAATTTTTAACACGCTCTATATACGTGTATTATATATATATATATATATATATATATATATATATATATATATATATATATATATATATATATATATATATATATATATATATACATATATACATATATACATAAATATAAATATAAATATAAATATAAATATAAATATAAATATAAATATAAATATAAATATAAATATAAATATAAATATAAATATAAATATAAATATAAATATAAATATAAATATAAATATAAATATAAATATAAATATAAATATAAATATAAATATAAATATAAATATAAATATAAATATAAATATAAATATAAATATAAATATAAATATAAATATAAATATAAATATAAATATAAATATAAATATAAATATAAATATAAATATAAATATAAATATAAATATAAATATAAATATAAATATAAATATAAATATAAATATAAATATAAATATAAATATAAATATAAATATAAATATAAATATAAATATAAATATAAATATAAATATAAATATAAATATAAATATAAATATAAATATAAATATAAATATAAATATAAATATAAATATAAATATAAATATAAATAAAATATAAATATAAATATAAATATAAATATAAATATAAATATAAATATAAATATAAATATAAATATAAATATAAATATAAATATAAATATAAATATAAATATAAATATAAATATAAATATAAATATAAATATAAATATAAATATAAATATAAATATAAATATAAATATAAATATAAATATAAATATAAATATAAATATAAATATAAATATAAATATAAATATAAATATAAATATAAATATAAATATAAATATAAATATAAATATAAATATAAATATAAATATAAATATAAATATAAATATAAATATAAATATAAATATAAATATAAATATAAATATAAATATAAATATAAATATAAATATAAATATAAATATAAATATATATATATATATATATATATATATATATATATATATATATATATATATATATATATATATATATATATATATATATATATATATATATATATATATATATATATATATATATATATATATATATATAATTACTAGCTGTATATCTTTACTTCGCTATGATGTAAAGTAAATTGACAGTAGCACTCTGAAGAAATACGAAAAAACACACAATGTAGGCCGAAAAAAACAAAAATTGTATCAATCTAAACAAAAAAAATATATAAACACACTACGAACAAAAACAATGAACGTAACACAATCTGTTTTGTAATTGTTTTAAACAAAATTTCCTACATAATAATTCCTGGGAAATTATTTAAGACAAGTGAAATAGGGGAAATAATCACTCTCTTATTATAATTATGTATATATCTATTATAAATGCCAAAACAAATAAATAATTACTTTAGAATATAATGAAATTGTTTAACACTATTCGTGTTTACAACATGTTTTTGTCTATAATCTGAATTTAATATATCGTCATCATAAATGCTAAAGTATTACAGCATAATGAAAGTTTTTAAAATCAGAGTTGGTTTAAAACCACACTTTTCGATATAATAGAAAAAACATTCAGAATAACAGCCTGCATTTAACTAAATGTCGATCTTTTAGTTCAGATCATATATTTTCAAATAACTACTGCTTCTTTGTTTTCTTTAAAGGTCATTTTTAACATAGTGATAGGTATGGGTTAGATCAATGAATTGCTCACACACCTTTCTACTGGTAATTGCAAAAATAATATTCACAGAGTTTTACGTTTAAAAAGCTAATTTTCTGGCGGCATGGTACTTTGGTACATAATTACGCGTTTTTCTACATGTACTTAACAGATCAGTTCGGGGTGGGCTGGGGGGGGGGGGGGTTCAACTTCATTCACCACTGTCGGTCACTTTATCCAACCCAGTGTATACCTAGTTGTGACATTTTAATGTCGCTCTACACAATTGTGGTGGTGATGTGTGTGTGTGTGGGGGGGGGGGGGGTAGATAACCAACTCAGAGTGAACATAGCGTCAGTTTTTAGATGACTGTTCTAAACATACATATGTATTACACAAATATATATTACACAAATATATATTACAGAAATAGATTTGAATAATTTTACACAAATATATATTACAGAAATAGATTTAAATAAGTAGCAGTGGTATTATGACAATATTTGTTTTTACAGAGGGGTCCATGGAGGAGGGGGGGGGGCGTTGTAACTGTTTCATATAATTTGTAATCGTAATCACTATCGCCCAAACTGTAAGAATACTACTACTTCATCGTGATGACGTTGTTGACCTTGTCAAAATTTCCCCACCACTACGCAGTTTGCTCATAAGTAATTTTAAAAAGAGGTGCCACATCAGTTGTATTTGTTTCTGCATTGTAAATTTTCAAAAATTAATCACACGATTCAAACTGTCTATATAAAATAATTATGTGTGAAGTTTTATGTATAAAATTCAATTATTCGTAAGCAAATACATTATACAGTCGCCTTAAACTTAACACCCCTCTTGCCAAGTTGTACTACCCGTAGAGGTTTTTAAACATTGCAATGCATCGTAATGGTTATTTTTAGAATGGCAAACTGATGCAGCTGTTAATACGTTTTGTAAACGTAGACCCTACTAGACTAATACAATAATGCTTAATTGCTGCATGAAAAGAAATCTTGTGACTTACATAGATGTGCCGACCAAAAATATTTTTTTAACAGATTTCATTGTTTAAAACTTTGAGTTTAAAAAGTTTCCAAAAAGGCGCCACTTTGCTGAAAATGGCCAGAGGGGGAGCGGCCGCTCCCCCTGCTCCCCCCCTGCGTACGCTACTGGACAGTTCACGTTTCACACTTAGTCAAATCAATTAGGCTTACAACGACACGCGCTGAACATCACAGTATATTTAGATAAAACGTTTCTTTTTATAATTTTTAAAATCATTATAATGAACTCGTATTCCCATGTACCCTCGTTCACTCCGTACAATAACATATACGGTAACACACCCGGCCTTACGTCTCGCTACAGAATAATATATACATACAAACACACATTAATCAATCCAACGTATGCACCTTTCATACACATTTTATCACCTCACATAGTACTAGTACTATATCGTCATACACGAGAGTTTTTACTGAAGGATCGAAACAAAATCTTTGTATTAGCGTACACACAGAAAACTGTTTGACTTTTCTAGCTTCTAGATTCTGCGTTGATGTGTGAGATTGTGATTGTTAAACAAATATGTTTACATAACCAAGCCAACAGGTATAGCACTTAAACTTACCCAAGCTACAATGTGTTGTGGTTTGATTGTAGATGTAGCTGTAGCACGTTTTGTTGGAACTTGAACAAAGATGGGCGCAGGACAAAAGACTGACTTGGTCAAACTCTTCATAGATAGACAGGGTGGTCACGTTTGTGTCATCAACAGCTTTATACTGGGTTTGTTTTATCGAGTTGTTTGACTCGACTTATTGCAGAAAAAAACGTTTAACAATTTCAAATTTCTGTTCTGGTTATAATAGAGAACATAATAAATTCTTTGAAGATCTTGTGTTCAGTTATCTGATCAGTATGACATTTATGAGCCTACCAAGATCATATGTTATATATTTAGAGAAGGTTAGGTGGCTGGCATTATTTTCATTAAACGTACCGTGTTCACCTATACAGATTAACCGTATTTCATCTACATTATTTACGTTCTGATGCGAAAGTGAACTTTTTTAATAGTGGGCATATTTTAAAAGAAATATTAAAATA